AGGCCCCACAGGCATAGAGCCGAATGCAGAGCTTGAACTCACCACCCTGAGGTCGAGACCTGAGCGGAGATCAAGAGTGCTTAACCGACTGAGCCACCCAGGCGCCCCAAATCACAAGTGCCCTTAATGGCATCTAGAATGCTGAATCTCTTCCAGAAGGTTTTCCGCTGACTTTGCCCAGATCTATCAGAGGAATCACTGCCTAAGGCAGCTAGAGCCTTACAAAATGTACTGTGTTATGCTAAGACTTGGAAGTTGATTTTTTTAAAGATTTTTATTTATTTATTTGACAGAAAGATAGAGAGCACAAGTAGGCAGAGTGGCAGGCAGAGGGAGAGGGAGAAGCGGGTTCCCTGCCGAGCAGGGAGCCCGATGCGGGGCTCGATCCCAGGACCCTGGGACCATGACCTGAGCCGAAGGCAGACGCTTACCGACTGAGCCGCCCAGGCACCCCAAGACTTGGAAGTTGAAATGACTCCTTGGTCCATGGGCTGCGATATGGGTATTGTGTTAAAAGCCCGACCACGGCATTAATCTCGTTGAGCATCCCATCAGAGCTCCTGGGTCACCAGGTGCATTGTCAGGATGGCTGTTGTGTTAGGGGCCCAAGCACGGCATTAATCTCGTTGAACATCCTCAGAGCTCCTGGGTGACCAGGTGCATTGTCAGGATGGGTGTTGTGTTACAGGCCCAAACACGGTGTTAATCTCGTTGAACATCCCATCAGAGCTCCTGGGTGACCAGGTGCATTGTCAGGATGGGTGTTGTGTTACAGGCCTGACCACCCCATTAATCTCGTTGAACATCCCATCAGAGCTCCTGGGTCACCAGGTGCATTGTCGGGATGGGTGTTGTGTTAAAGGCCCAAGCACGGCATTAATCTCGTTGAACATCCTCAGAGCTCCTGGGTCAGCAGGTGCATTGTCAGGGAGCAGTAGTATTTTGGAAGGATTTTTTTTTTTTTTCTAAGCCCTAGGTCTCAAGTGTGGCTTAAAATATTCAGTAACCATGTTGTAAAGCGATGCGCTGTCTCCCAGGCTTTGCTGTTGCGTTTATGGAGCCCAGGGGGAGGAGCTTTAGCGTCATTGTCAAGGGCCCGAGGAGTCTCAGAATGGTCACTGACCACGGGCTCCCCGTTGAAGGCGACAGCTGCCTTAGCCCCTACCAGGAGTCAGCCTGTCCTCTGAGGCTTTCAAGCCAGGCACTGACGCGTCTCTAGGGATGAGAGTCCTACACGGCATCATCTGCCAGTAGGAGGCTGCTTTGTCTACGCCGGAAATCTGTGTCTAGTGTAGCCACCTCCACGGATGACCTTAGCTAGCTCTGGGTAACTTGCGGCAGCTTCTACATCAGCTTTGGCTGCTTGCCTTGCACTCTCACGCAGATGGCTTCTTTCCTTCCACCTCCCGAACCACCTCTGCTGGCTTGAGACTGGCCCGCAGCCTCCACGCCTCTCGGCCTTCACAGAACTGAAGGGGGGCAGGGCCTTGCTCTGGATGAGCTCTTTCAACATCCTTCACAAACGCTTCCCTCGATTTAGAGCTGGGCTGGTCGGCACAACAGAGCTAGCCTTGCGCCTGTGTCGGCCTTCGCCACGCCTTCCTCCCTACGCTGAGTCACGTCTAGCTTTGGATTTAGAGCGAGAGGCGTGCAACTCTTCTTTCACCTGGACGCCTGCAGGCCCCTGGAGGGGTATTAACTGGCCTCAGCTCAATACTGCTGTGTCTCAGGGAACAGGGAGGCCGAGGAGAGGGAGAGAGACGGGGAACGGCCGGTCCGTGTGAGAACACACACATTGATTGATTAAGTTTGCCGTCTTATGTGGGTGTGGTTGGTGGTGCCCCCAAACAGTGACGATGGTGACATCAGAGATCACTGATCACAGATTACCACCACAGATGTGATGATGATGATGATAAAGCTTGAAATGTTGGGATAATTCCCCAAATGTGACCCAGAGACACGAAGTAAGCGAAAGTTGTTGGAAACACGGCACTGATAGAGTTGCTGGACGCAGGGTTGGCACAAACCTTCGGTTTGTGAATAACTCAGTATCTGTGGAGTGCCCAGAAGTGAAGTGGGGTAAAATGAAACATGCCTCAACTGCATGGAATTCAAACATCTCCCAGCACTTTGTGAGCTCTGGGGAATTAAAGTAAAACTTTAGTTAAAGTAAATTTTATTTTTTTCCATAAAGGAATTAAAGTAAAACTTTATCCTTATATCTTAAAATGTTAGTAGATTGACAATATGCAAACATCATCAGATGATAATTGGCGTATGTTTGCTTTCACTGCCTCAGTGTTTAAAATCTTGACATGGGTTTCTTCGGGCTTATCCTGTTTGGGGTTCACTGAGTTTTCACGAATGACCGTTGACAAATGTGGAGGAATTTTAGACAGTATTTCTCTCTTCTTCTCCTTCTTCCTCCTCCTCCTCTTCCTCCTCCTCCTCCTCCTCCTTCTCCTCCTTCCTCCTCCCCTTCTCCTCCTCCTTCCTCCTCCCCTTCTTCTTCTCCTCCTTCCTCTTCCTCTTCTCCTCCTCCTCCTTCTTCTCCTTCTTCTCCTTCTTCCTCCTCCCCTTCTCCTCCTTTCTCCTCCCCTTCTTCTTCTCCTCCTTTCTCCTCCTCCTCCTTCTTCTCCTTCTTCTCCTTCTCCTTCTTCTCATTCTTCCTCCTCCCCTTCTTCTTCTTCTCCTTCCTCCTCCCCTTCTTCTTCTTCTCCTCCTCTTCTCCTCCTTCCGCTCCTCTTCGTCCTCCTCCTTCTTTTTAAGATTTTATTTTTAAATAGTCTCTACACCCAACATTGGGCTCGAACTCACAGCCCTGAGGTCAAGAGTTGCACGCTCTTTCAACGAAGCCAGCCAGGTGTCCCTCAGGTATTATTTCTTGAATTGTTTTTTGGTCCTGTTCTCTTGTCCGTTTCTGGGACTGTGATCGTGTGGAGGGTAGATCTGTTAACAGTCCCACGATTCATCTCCTTCCCCAGTGTATTCCCTTCCATCGTTCAGACCGAGTACTTTTTATCGTTCCTCCTTCATCACCTCCTCTGTGCTCTCCACTCGGCCACGAGCCCTTCCATCCACGGGGACTTTTATTTTGATTTCTGTATTTTTTCCCATCTAAAATCTCCATCTTTGCTCTTCTTTATATATCTCCTATTTCTTTGCTGAGATTTTCTATTTATTTTTAGATGTATCTGAAGCATGTCTGTGTGATGGCTCCTCACAGCATTTCCATTACATTGGCCTTTGAGTCCTTGTCCGGGCACCTGCATCATCTGAGAGTTAGCATCTTTCTCACTCCACAGATTTTCCTGGTTCTTGTTATGATGAGTCACTTTTTTTATGGAAACCTGGTCAGTTGGATATGATGTTTGGAGGGTCTGGATCTTATTGAAATCTTCTGTTGCAGGGGCCTCTTCTGGCACGTTGCCGGGGTGCTGACTTATTACTGCCAGGTGGAAGGCATACAGTCCAGATGCCCCACGTGCCCTCCTGTGACACGTGGGGTCTTCATGGTCTTAGCCTGGTGGCTGCCTTCACTCCACTTTCTGGAGTACTCTTATGTTTCTTGTTTATAGTGTGGGAGTTTCAGCTCTGATTTATGGGGGTCCATAGGGAAAACATACATCCACTTCCTCTTGGCCCCAAACTGGAGCTCTGAAATGCAATTGATTTTTGTATATTGATGATGTTTCCAGTGACATGGCATAAATCCTTTTGAGATTAGAGTAATAGGTCTTTATATTATTTGGGATAGTCCATGCATACAATTTTGGGATCCATGAATAATCAATACCATTTTATTTATTTATTTGTTCGTTTGTTTATTTTTTCAGTTTCAAAAAAGAAAGAAAACTTTATTATTATGGAAACCTAATAGAAGAGAAAAGGAATCTACACATAGATGTAGGTAATAGTAGGCAACAAATGAGAATTAGACAAAGTAACATCAAATCGGGCACTTACAACATCCAACCTCATCAGCTGTGGGGGTCCCGGTGGAAATAACCAGGCTGGAATCCCTATTTTATCCATTCAGTGCTTATCACTTTTTTTTCCCTTTACTTAACTGGTTGGTTCTTCTTGTCAAGTTTTCATGTCAATTTTTGTTTTTCTGGCCTGATAAAATGTGCTAGGGAAGTATTCCTTCTTTCTCTATTCTCAGGGGAAGCCTGTGTAAGTTTGGTATGTGTATGTGCACGTGTGTTCATGTGTGTGCTCACATGTTCGTGTGTGTAGGCATGTCCACAGGTCCATGTGTGTTCACATGTTTGTGTGTGTGCCCACGTGTTCGTGTGTGTCCATGTGTTCAGGCGTGCAGGTGTGTCCATGTGCATGTGTGTTCACATGCATGTGTCTGTATTTCTCATGTGTTCACATGTCCATGTGTGTTTACATGTTTGTGTGTATGTGCGTCCACGTGTTCATGTGTGCTCACATGTTTATAGATGCACAGGTGTGTCCATGTGCATGTGTGTTCATGTGTTCGTGTGCATGTATGTGTGTCCGTGTGCTCACATGTCCATGTGTGTAGGAGTATCTGTGTGTTCACGTGTTTGTGTGTAGGTAGGTGTATCCATTGTCCACGTGTGTGTGTATTTCACAAGTGCATCAGTATTTGGAGGCATTCACCAGTGAAACTTTCCAGATTCAGTTCACTTTGTGGGAAAAACTTTAATTGCATATTCACCATGTTTTACACATACAGCAATTCAGATTTTCTATTTATCCCTACGTCCATCATTTTGGTAACCTGTATTTTTGAGGATTTTGTCAGTTTTATCTACATTTTCTAATATTTTGGCATAAAATTGTTCATAATATAACTAATAAAGGTGAACATAATAAACTCTGTTATCGATTTAAAGTCTGTAGGATGTGATACTGTTCTAAATGGTGATGTGATGTGATGTGCGCCTTCTCTTTCTCTCTCTCTCTGTTTCTTGGCCATTGTGGCTAGGATTTATACATGGGATTAATATTTACAAAAATGAACATTTTGGGCTTTAGATTCTTCTTTATTTTTTGTTTGACCTCATTAGTAGCTTCTCTTATCACTGTATTTCCTTCCTTCTACCTTCATTTCAAATAATTTGCTATTCTTTTTTTAAATTCATGGTATGATAACTTGGATCATTGACTTGGTTCTTAATTTTCCCATTTCATAGGTTTGATGTGTAACATTTACATTGTCCTTCAGTGTAAACATTCTCTCATTTTCATTTTGGTTTTCTCATTTCATTCATGGATTATTGAGAAATCCATCGCTTTAGTTTCCAGAGTATAGAGATAGTACTATCTTTGATGGCAGAATCAGGCGACTCCCGGAGGGTCCCGGGAGTTCCTACTGGTCTGCGTGAGGAGTCCAGGTTGGCTGGGGTCATTAGGTGGCACCCACTGTGGGCAGCTCCTGTGCCTTCCAGGGTCTTTGCGGTCCCCTTCCCTGGAGTGTGGGGTCTGGGTCCTTCCTGGGCTAGTGGATGGCCAGAGCAGCATACATGCTGGGCTCTGCTGGGAGCTCCCCTGATGGGGAGGGAGGGGATGCACTTGTCTCTCGTCGGAGGGTCAAGCGGTTCAGCTGGGCGTAGGTCACGTCCTGGGGGGCGCCAGATGCAGCAGTGTCCTGTGGGGGAGAGAAAGAGGGGAGGTGCATGGTTGGGGTGGGGGGAGCCTGGGGACTCAGAGAAGAAGGGACCCACCTGACAGTCTGTCTGCCTGTCTTCCTCTGCTTGTCTGTCCTCCGAGTCCAGCAATCCCCCCGACACAGGGGAAGGAGAAGGGGCCAGTCCCTGCCTGAGTCTTGATCTTGAGTGGCTCACCTGGGCATATGTCGATCCCTGGGGGTCTTCATCCTGTGTGTTCTGCTGCAGACAGACAGTGAGGGGGAGGTTTGTCTCCTTGATTCCAATCGACCGCCTCAGACCCTTTTCCACACTGTTGCCAGAGTGATGCTTTCAAACTTTCAGGCAGATTAGGTCACTTTCCTGGTGGACTCTCCAGGGGCTTCCTGAGCCTTGAGACATGCAATGCTTTCTATGGCTCTGATTCTATTCCTGACACTGTTTCTTGCTCATTTGGTTCCAGCCACATAGCCTCTGTTCCTTCAAAACATGTTGCTGCCTCAGGACCTTTGCACCTGCTACCCCCTTCTCTTGTTTTATTTTCCTTGGCCACACTTTGCACTCGAGGGTGCTGCCCACTTCCTTGCATATTGTCTGTCACCCACAAGGTGAGCGCATGGAGGGTGGTTCATATTTGCCCACTGCTGTGCTTGCAGCACTAGGTGGGGCCTGGTAAATGGTGGGCTTCCTGTGCCCATTTACTGGGTGAATGAATGAAGGGGGCCTAAGACCTGTGGGTGATTCATTTCTTCATGCACCCTCTTGAGACCTGGGCATGCACCTCAACAACCAGAAGTCAGACAGCGGTCAGGGAGCCAGACAAGGGGAGCACGGAGGAGGCCCCATGCGGTCACAGCAGGCTGACCCAGAATGCCCAAGGAGGGAGAGGGCATCTGAGGGACACTGCTGAGACTGGGTGGTGTGAGGACAGAGAAGTGTCCATTGGATTAAGTTTGGCACCACGAGGGCCCTGGGGTCTGCACGAGAGTGGGGGTCTCACCTGATGGTCCAGCTCCACCCCCTCCTCAGGTTGAGTGTCTTGCACGGCAGCATCTGCTGGGGAGAATGGGGGGTAACTCTTGGCAAGGTCCCCTGAGCTTCTCAGACAGGGCAGATGTGATCCAGGGGATTCAGCAGTGGGGTGAGGTGCCAAGGTCATGCATGTGGGAATTCGGTCCTCACCCCTTACCCCCAGACCCTCCCAGCCCACCCCCAGGGCAATCCCCTTCCTCTCACAGAGGCTCTCCTCCTGGGTGGCAGCAGCTGGGCTGGAGCTGGGGAGGAGACAGGGTGTTAGGGGGCATAGAGGGGGCGGGTAGGTGGGAGTCTAGGGGGTGTGCGAGTAAGAGTTACCTGTCCTGCAGGCCTCTGTCCTTGGGCTCCGCGTCTGCAGCCCCTGCAGGACATTGGGAATCAGCCTCCCTCTGGGCTGGGAGGTTACGACCACCCCCCATGTGATTCCAGGGAAAGGAGCCCTTCACACATATTGTCTGTGTGTGTCTCCATCTCCCGAGATTGAAAAGAGGAAAAACCTTCAATTGGCACGTGGGTCCCACCTGGGTGTTTTCTTTCTAGACTCTCTGACTTGAGATTCTGCAAGTGTCTTTCCACACCAGCCTTTCCTACCTCTCCAGCTTCCCTCTCTGGCCACTGCCCTGAGCCCGCCCTCGGTCGGCCCACAGGACAGCCACCACCCCCTGGGGCCCGTCACCCCCTCCCCTTCTCACCTGGCTTCCTGCCTTCGCCCCGACGCCGGTGTCGGACCAGGAGGAGGACAAGGAGGCTGAGCAGCAGGACGAAGGCCACCGAGACCCCGATGAGGACGTACAGGTACCAGTGGGGACCTTGGGCAGGAGCCACACCATGAACGAGCCAGTGATGCCATTTAACTGAGCACCTACTGTGTGCCAGGCACCTGCTGGGCTCTGTGCATTCACCTCTGACCCTGTCAACGATCACGCAGCAGGGGATTGCCGCCCCTCCCGCCCACTCCACAGACAGGAAACTGAGGCACAGAGAGGTCATTCACATGTCTCAGGTCGCCCAGCGTGGGGGCGGCAGGGCTGGGGCTGGGACCAGGGCTGTGGGCTCCCCGTGCTCTCCTCATGCTGTCCCCTGTGGGGACACCAGCTCGAGGCTCTGGGCTCCTCACGTGGGGCACGGCCTGTCCCAGCATCTTCTTCTGGAGCTGAGGGTCCTTCCAAATCCCCTATCACCTGAACGCCCCCAGCCATCGTCCTCCCTCCCCTCCTCCTGCAACGTCACCAGCTGCAGAGGGAAGGCCCCCGCATAGGTCATGACCTGGGGGCTTCCCCGTGAGTCCTCCTCTCCCACGGTCAGAGCCCTGGTCGGAACTGAGGGGAAATCTACTCTAGGCCACGACTCTCTCCTTTACACTTGGGGACACTGAGGCCCACACAGGAGAGGGGCATGTCCAGGCCAACGCCTGCAGAGGACCCTGAACTGAGGGTGTAACTCAGCCCCTGCTCCCCATGGGCCCTCCCACCACTCCTGACAGAGAGCCTCACTCACCCTCAGAGCCCCTGGAGCCCCGCTGTCCCCCTGGCATCTCTGAGAGACTGGAAGAAAAGCCCCTGGACAGCGGCCCCTGTGACTCACCAGCTGTTGAGCTGGGCCCTGTGGATGAGGGGCCGGGGTCTGTAGGGGGTCCCGGGTAAAAAGACAAGAGGGGGGCTGGAGCTTCCCCTAGAGACCCTGTCTCTGCTCACACTCTTCTCCCTCATGTGCCCTGTGGCCCCCAAGGTCCCCCTCCTCCGCCTGGAGAATTCTGGTGATGGGGGCGAAGGACGAGGCAGGGGTGGGAGGGCCCTGTTTCCCTCCTGCACTGTGAGCTGTGGACCCCTCTGCTGATGCTCCCTCAGAGCCCCTCACTCCCATCCTAGACCAGAGCCCTCCTGGGCACAGGGTCCTGAAGACAATGTTGGGACACAGAGGGGACAGGATAAGGGGCCCCTCACCTGAGACCAGGAGCTCCAGGGGGTCACTGGGCTGGGACAACAGGTAGGGGGAGGCGCTGGATGAGCCGTAGCACCTGTAGGTCCCCCCGTGGGCTGAGGTCACAGGACTCATGGAGAATTCAGCCTGGTGCTGCCCAGCTCGGCGCTTTGATCTAAGACGCAGGGGGGGATCGGCTGCCCCCTCCTTGGACAGAAGGAAAGTGTCCTCAGAGCTCCATGACTGACACAGCAGGGTCACATTCTCTCCTGAGGTCACCGTGGGTCCCGGCTGCACTGAGAGGGAGGGTGTGTAGGGGAGCTGTCCTAGAGAGAGGAAGGGCAGGTGAAGGGCTGTCCAGCCCTTGCTCTGAACTGAGACTGTCTGTCCTCTGAGTCTCTCCCTTCCCCGTCCCCTGTCTCTCTCCCTCCCTGGGGACCCCACACCCCTGGTCCCACCACCACCACCTGGGCCCCCTGGCAGGACCTGTGCAGAGTCTGGGGTCCTGACTGACCCCGTCGCATCTCACCTGCGACCAGGATGTCCAGGGGGTCACTGGGGGCCGACCACTCGGAGGAGAGCTTGCGTCCACCATAGCATGTATACCGGCCCCCGAGGGAGGGTCTCACAGGGCCCAGGTAGAAGTCTGCCCCAGAGAGCCCAGCCTGGGGCTGTTGGCCAAGAAGCTGGGGAGGGTCCCGTGCGCCCTCCTTGGACAGAGCGAATCTGTCGTAGCCGACATCAGAGCGACACTGGAGGGTCAGGCTCTGTCCAGAGGTCACGACAGGGCCCTGCTGGGTCAGGAGGGAGGGCTTCCCCAATGCACCTGGGAGAGACCAGCCGTGGATTGCAGGGGCTGATGCTCCCCAAACCTCCCTTCTCCCATCCTGACCCCCGTCTCACTGTCCATCACCCTCTGTGACTCTGACCTGTGAGCCCCTGTTGTCCCCTCACCCCACCCTCTCATCTGGGGCTCCCCTGGGAGCGGAGCCCCCATAACCTGTCTGGTGCCTCAAAACAGGGATGGGGCAACAATCAGACTCCCTCACCTGAGACCAGCAGCTCCAGGGGGTCACTGGGGTCCGACCACACCTGAGGGTTGTTGTTGTAATAACCATAGCATCTGAACGTCCACCTGGGGCTGGGGGTCACGGGGCCCACAGGGAACAGGGCCTGGGACCCCCCACTGGGGGCTCGCTGGGAGTCCAGGGTCCAGAAGGTCTGGTGTTCTCCTTCCCTCATCAGGACGAACCTGTTGAGTCCCAACCGTGAGCCACACTGGAAGGTCACATTCCCTCCTGAGGTCACGACAGGGCTGGGCAGGGCTGAGAGGCTGGGTTTGCCATGCGATCCTAGGAGAGGAGGAGGGGACGGTGTTAAATGGGGCTCAGATCCCCCACATTATCCCCAGGGCTGGGCTGTGAGAGGGAGACACCCTGAGAGCAGACCCCCTTCCTGAGGGCACAGCCTGGGGCTGGGACCCTGAGTGGGCTCGCACCTGTCACCACCAGCTCCAGGGGGTCACTGGGCTCTGACCAGCCAGTGGGACTGAGATAGTTACAGAGATATCGTCCTGCCTCTACATGTGTCATGTATTTGATGGAGAGCTTGGCCTTGTCCTTGGGCTCCAGTGGCTTCTGACTGTGCCAGGTCTCCGAGTTTCCCTCTTTTTGCAGGCGGTACTCCTGGGCCTCCAGGCTCCCCTGACACCAGATGGTCACAGGGGTCCCCCGGGGGATCACAGAGCCTGGCTCAGCCCAGATGGTGGGTTTGGGGAGGGTCCCTGGAAGGAAACGGAGGCTGGGACACAAGACCTTCCCCACCCCCAGGTCCCAGCTCTGCCCCAAACCCCCAGACGTCCCCCTCTGTCAGCCTGAAATGCTGTTCTCCATCCCCTCTGCCTGGTGGGTGACCCCTGTCCCCAGTGAGGAGGTGGGACTGGGAACCCTGGGGACAGACTCACCTGCCTGCACTCGGGTCCTGGGGCCCACACTCAGCCCTGGAAGAGAGTTCCTGTGAGAGGTTTGCCCCGAATCCTGAGCAGAACCGCTCCTCCCGTGAGCCTCCTGAGTCTGGGGTCTCTGACAGACCAGGGCCTGGCTGTGGGGCGGGTCCCTCCCAGAATAGGGCGTCCCCTCCCCTCCTCAGATCTCACCGAGACAGAGCAGGGCCGTCAGGGTGGGGGTCATGGCGTCTGCTCTCTCTGGTTCCGGCTGTGCAGACGGAGGGAGCAAGGCGCCCACAGGACGGACAGACACACAGGGTGTGGCCACGCGGAGGCTGTTCCTGTCCGTCACGGGATTGTCACGTCAGCAGCCCCACAGGAAGGGAACAGCCCCTCCCCAGGACCTAGCCTGGCTCTGGTGTCCATGATGGTGCAGCAAGTGGACCCCGAGGCTTCCTGAGATGCCCCATCCAGGTGAGGAGACCAGGCATGTCCTTCCCTCCCAGAGCCTCCCCCATGGGTCTCCTTCATCCTCAGCACATCCCTGGGGTCCTCACCGTGGACGGGGTCCCCAGGCCCAGAGATGCTGCAGGGGGTGGGGGTTCCTGCTGTGCTGGGGAGCTCATGTCAACACAGACCCACATGTGACGCCTCTGCTCGGCTCAGGTCGAGGTCACCCTTGCAATGAGCCCCGAGGAGAAATACAGGCAAATGGGGAAGGAAACACAACCCTTCTCACGGCCCTGCAGTTTAGGTTCTCTTTCTATCACAATCTCCCTGAACTTCTCTATTTTGCTCTGACATTGTCCACCTCCCCCCTTCCTGGGAATATCACTGCGAGTCCCTCCTGGCTCTGCGGTGCCCCTTGTTCCTGGGACACAGCCGTCCTCCCCACCCTGGGGGGTCCTGTGTGCAGGCATCAGGGAACATTTATTTGGGCTAGAGCTCTGATTTTGAAGGAAAGTGGATCTTCATTGAACTATTCCTGGATCATCCTCTGCCAGCATGACCTTGGGAGGTAATGTCCTTGATCTGAGCCTCAGTTCCCATCTGCTGCATGTCGTCCTGAACTCACCCCCCAGAGTGATTGTGGGGATTTGGTGTCGAGGTCACGGGAGGGATGGGGAGCTGTGAGTTTCCAGACCAGGTAGGACGAGCGTGGGCTGGAGGTCCTGTTGCGGTGACGGGGTCCTGGGGCCAGACTCTGCGGTCAGGTGGCTGGTTCGTGTGCCCACTGGAGACCTCGTCTGCTCAGAATACCAGGACTGCCACTCACGGTACGTCTGAAATATGCAGCCACAGACACATGCAAGTAAACGGGAAATGAAATTTCCAGATGCAGGTGGAACCCCAGCAGGGAACAGAGAACCCAGCTGAGTCTCCCCTGGTGCCTGGGACCTCGGAGGGCTCCTAGGGAGGATGTTTCCACCAGTGTGGACACAGAGGGCTTCCCCAGGGTCCTCTCACTGCAGAGGGGTCAGGGCTCCAACAGAAGGTCGGGCTGCATCCTCAGGAGAGACAAGAAGGGCTTTGGGGTTAGATCCCTTAACCACCAGCTGTAGCTGCCTCTCCCAGGACTGGAGTCATACACTCACACAAGGAAATGAGAAAGGGTTTCCCTGCAACTTGCTGTACAGAGAGAACGGGAGAGAAGGCATTTGCAGAACTGCACGTTTTTAGGTAGTCGACTATTTCACTCTCAGTGAGCGGATGCCAAGTGTTGCAGTTCCGTTAGAACAGGAACCCAGGGGGCGCCTGTGTGTCTCCGTCCCTTAAGGCTCTGACTCTCGATTTCGATTTCGGCTCAGGTCATGATCTCAGGGTCGTGGGATCTAGCTCTGGGTCAAACCTGACATCAGGCTCTGTGCCTAGCCCGGAGTCTGTTTGTCCCTCTCTCTCAGCTCCTGCCCATCCCCCCCCCCATATAAATGAATAAAATCTTAAGAAAAGGGCGCCTGGGTGGCTCAGTTGGTTGGGCGACTGCCTTCGGCTCAGGTCATGATCATGGAGTCCCTGGATCGAGTCCCGCATCGGGCTCCCTGCTCCCCAGGGAGTCTGCTTCATCCTCTGACCCTATCCCCTCTCATGTGTTCTCTCTCTCTCATTCTCTCTATCTCAAATAAATAAATAAAATCTTAAAAAAAAAATCTTAAGAAAAAAAAAAAGAATAGGAACCCAGGTGTGAACAGGAACCCAGGATGGAGAAGGTGAGGTGCAGCATGAAGGACAAATGGCAAAAATGTAAGCACTGGAAAATACCAGAGACAGACACGGCTGTGCACACAGGTGTGCACATACACACACAGAGAGGAGCGGTCACGGTCCAGGTGACCTGCGACTAGGACCTTGTCCTACCTCAAGGGAGACGGTAATGAGCGCCTGTTCAGAAAAACGTAAACGCACACATTAAACACGTGTGCCATGATCTAAAATGAAAAATGACGTGACTTCCAAAGTGCTTGGTGTAATTAAATGAAACAATATTTTTTTTAAAGATTTTATTTATTTATTCATGAGAGACAGAGAGAGAGAGAGAGAGGCAGAGGGAGAAGCAGGCTCCCAAGGAGCAGGGAGCCCGATGCGGGACTCGATCCCGGGACTCCAGGATCATGACCTGAGCCGAAGGCAGACGCTTAACCATCTGAGCCACCCAGGCGCCCTAAATGAAACAATATTGCTTCCACCTTATTGAGGTATAAATGACAAATAGAAATTGTATATATTTCAGGTACATAACTTGATGTTTTGATAAATGTGTGGTTGTGGAGTGATGACCACATTCAAGCTAATTAATGTATCCAGCACCTCATGCAGTGAGCACTTGTGTGTGTGTGCGTGTGCATGTTTGTGTGTGGTGGGAACACTGAAGACCTACCCTCTAAGCAAATTTGCAGCATGCAAAAGGCTCCAGTTAGCTCCAGTCACATTGCTGTGCATTAGATCTAATGCTGTGCATTGGATCTCCAGAACTTACTCGTCTGCATGACTGAGACTTGATACCCCTTGACCAACATCTCCCCATGCCCCCCTTTGCCCGGCCCCTGAAACTACTATTCTACTGGGTGTCTAGGAGTTTGCTATTTGGGATTTTTTACACATCAGTGAGATCGCCCTGTACTTGGCCTTCTGTGCTTTGCGTAAGTCCCTTCCCATAATGTCCCCCGGGTTCACCCAGGTTGTCGCAAATGACAGGATTTCCTTTTTCAAGGTGGAGTAGTGCTCCTTTCACATAAATACCGTATTTTCTTTATCCATTCATCTGTAGACAGACATTTAGGTTGTTTTCATATCTTGGCTGTTGTGGTTAATGTTGCAATGAACGCGGGGGTGCAGATGTCTCTTTGAGATCCTGATTTCATTTACTGTGGACATAGACTCGGGAGTGGGATTGCTGGATCCTATGGATCCCAGGGTTGCTTTCTTTTGAATCGTTTGAGGAAACTCCATTCTGATCTTCCACAGCGGCTGCACCAATTTACACCCCCAGCAGCCGTGCACAAAGGGTTCATTTTCTCCACACTGTTGCCAAAGCTTGTTACACCTTGTTGTTTGGATAAGAGCTCTTCTAACAGGTGGGAGCTGGTGTCTCACTGAGGTTTTTGATTTGCATTTCCCTGAAGCTGAGTGATGCTGAGCACCATTTCATATACATATCAGCCCTCTGGATGTCTTCTTCTGAGAAACGCCTTTTCGGGCCCTCTGCCCATTTTCATTTGGGTTATTCTTAGTATGATCGGTATTATTGCACTGAGTTGTGTGAGGTCCTTATAGATTTGAAAACTCTCCCTTATCAGATGGGTGGTTTGCAAGGATTTTCTCCCGTTCTGTAAGTTGCCTTTTCACCCTGTTGATGATTCCTTGGCCGAGCAGAAGGTGTTCAGTTTGACAATCCCGCTTGTCTATTTTTGCCTCGGTTGCCCATGTTTTTGGGGTCATATCCCCAAAATCATTGCCCACATTGATGTCAAGAGGCTTTTCCCGTATGTTTTCTTTCAGTAGTCTTATGGTTTCAGGTCTTAGGTTTCCGTCTTCAATCCATGTGGGTTGATTTTTGTGATGTGGTGTGAGGTGAGGGTCCAATCTCAATCTTCTTCATGTGGACGTTTCATTTTCCCAACACCATTTATCGAAGAGACTGTCCTTTGTCATTTGTATTCCTGGCCCCTGGTGGAAGGTGAGTTCACCGAGGTTCTTTGAGAAAATTATTTTGAATTGTCAGGCAGTTCACCCATCTCCATTGTTTTCATGGTCGGCTAATGCAGATGTGATTTTTCCTTTGGTAGCGTCATATTTCCCTGATTCTTCGTGTTTCTTGTAGCTGTGGTGTCTTCACATCAGAGGAAATGGCCACCTCTTCCAGTGTTTATGGAATATTTAAGCAAAGGACTGTTGTGGTCAGAAAGTTCTATGAAGGTCATACTAGCTGCTATTGTACATGGAAAGGAGACTCTAAATAAATTTAAGTAAGTCAATAATTAAAATAAACACAACACGTGCCCTCCTCAATACCCACCATTGGGCTCACCCATCCCCCCACCCCCTCCCCTCTGAAATCCTCAGTTTGTTTCTAGGAGTCCCTAGTCTCTCATGGTTGGTCTCCCCCTCCGATTTCCCCCGCTTCATTTTTCCTTCCTTCTCCCAATGTCCTCCATGCGATTCCTTATGTTCCACAAATAAGTGAAACCATATGACAATTGACTTTCTCTGCTTGACTTATTTCACTTCGCATAATCCCCTCCAGTCCCATCCATGTGCATGTAAAAGTTGGGTATTCATCCTTTCTGATGGTTGAGTAATATTCCATTGTATATATGGACCACATCTTCTTTCTCCATTCATCTGTTGAAGGGCATCTCGGCTCTTTCCAGTTTGGCTATTGCGGACATTGCTGCTATGAACATTGGGGTGCATATGACCCTTCTTTTCACTATATCTGTATCTTTGGGGTAAATACCCAGGAGTGCAATTGCTGAGTCCTAGGGTATCTCTATTTTTAATTTTTTGAGGAACCTCCACACTGTTTTTTTAAAGTGACTGTACCAACTTGCATTCCCACCAACAGTGTAAGAGGGTTCCCCTTTCTCCACAACCTCTCCAAGATTTGTTGTTTCTTTCCCTGTCCATTTTTGCCATTCTAACTTGTGTAAGGTGGTATCTCAATGTGGTTTTGATTTGAATTTCCCTGATGGCTAATGATGATGAACACTTTTTCATGTATCTGTTAGCCATTTGTATGTCTTCTTCGGAGAAGTGTCTGTTCATGTCTTCTGCCCATTTTTTGACTTGATTATTTGGG